TTCACTTGCATGCAGTGTACTTGCTATCTGTGGCATTGATTCCTCAAGTTTAAAAAGAAACTTGTTAAAACAGTAAATTCAGAGTTATCGCTGAACCTCTCTCCTTAATCTGCCCTGAAGAGATGGTAGGATGAAACCTGTATTCTTTTTTGTTGAGATTTTTTTTTTTTAAAAAAAGTCTTTCTTTCACAACTGTTTTACTTTCTTTAGAACCTATTTTTTTTTGTATTTAATTTCCTATGGAGGAAAAAACCACAACTTTCATGGAAGGTTTTGGTATTTGGAGTGGCCTGATAGCCATTTCTGTATGCTGGATAAAGCATGGGCTTGCCTTCATGTCTGTGTGAGAACTACATGAATCTTGCCCTCCTTCACTGGATCCTGTAAGCCTTACTTACACCAGAACTTGGAGAACATGCCATCGCAGCGCTCACTGACTTGGTGGTGTGATTACAGAGGATGAGTAGTAGCATGCTTAATAATCAACCAGTCTTCAGGTATAGGTAAAAGAAATACACTCTGTGATGCATGGCTCACCTTCATGGGAAGGGGGGGAAGAGGAGGCTGGAGGATGAAGGAATAGGAACTGTGATGGGAAAGAGGACATCACATTCATGTTTTCACTTCAAAGGACCAGTTCATCTTGCTGTACAGAAAGTGGAAGAGCAGAGAGCTGATTCTTGTCTCTATACTTGGCCAGACCCTTTTCAGCCTTCACGAAGAGTTTTCCCTGATCCCTGGTGGTACTCTGATCACAAGCTCTGGTAGCATTATCTGCTCTCAGCACCAAGATGGTCCTTGGGAGAAGAGCTGATGTGCTGCACACAGCACAGTGTGGCAAATGCTTTTCCCCTGGCTTTTCCTGTTGTAGGAAGGGCACTTGTCCCTCTGGTACTGCCAAGACATAGGTTCATTCAATGTATGTAGACCAAGGTCCTGCTTCCCCTTGCCCTACAGCTCTTCTGCTTCAGAGAAAGCACACTCCTTTCTGCAGGGGCTTTAGTTATGCAAGAAGTTCCCTGATTCTTCAGTAGCTGTTTGCTTTAATACCCTGAAGGGGGCATTTGAGTCCTGGTGCCTTAGGCTGGCTTCTGAGAGTAGATAAAGATGAGGTTTGGTTTTTTTTCAGAGTAAGTTGACTTGGCAGCCATCAATATGGGCTACAGGGAAACATGGGAGCTGGGGGAGGAGGGGAGTGCAATGCTCCATTTAGCGACAAGGGGAGATTCTCCCTAGATGAGGCAAGGAACAGGCTATAGGATAAATGTATTTTCTGGAGGGATGTAGTAGACGGGCAGTGGAGAGAAGAAAAATGCTGTCTACCCTCATGTTTTTGTATTGCAGGCAGCAGGGAAGGGGCTTTTATGGGGTCTTTCTGGTTGCAGCTCTCCGTAGCAGGTGGCTGAGACTCTACAGAGGTAGAAGAAATTATAACATTTCATAGCAAATCATCTGTGGGAAGAGAGGTGAGAAGGGAATACCAATGCACATGTTCCTGCCTCTTTTTTGGAGGGAGGAGAGGAGGATAACTATCCAAAGAGGTTATGGCCAGTGGGTGGACAGAGCTGATGTATTCCATTTAGCTTTCTGTGAAGAGATGGTGAAAACTAAGATGTGATGATCCTGCTGCATTGTTTGTCCGTTACTTTTCCTGACTTTTTGTTTGTTTGTTTTTTTCCCTTCTCTCATTCCTTCTGTTTTCTCCTTCTTGCCACAGGGCTGTTCCCTTAGGGTTGTAGAGCCCACCTTGTCACTGACACACAACACAGCGTTTCACTTGCTTGCACTGTGGTTTTCATGCACGTTGAGGCTGCACTCTCTTTTTCTCTCTCTTTCTTGCGTCATCACAGTTGTATTTGGCTGCCATGGACAGTAGCAGCCATATGAGCTGGCAGCTTAAGCCCTCGGACAGTGCACGGACATACTGGTAACAGCGCCCGCAAATGGAACAGGTACTGGAAAAAAGGTCCTCCTTGCTCAACCCCTTCTCCACTCCCAGCCACTCCCTCCATCCCTGCACTGTTTATCCCGGGCCAGTGCCTTTTATTTCTTCACATTCCTTCCCTCTGCACCTCCCACCCCATCCCCTCCTGCCAAGGGTTAAAATTAAAATCCGTTTTTGCTCTGGTGCAGACTGGAGGAGCAGTATCAACTTTAAGGGCTTCTGGTGCATGTTGTGAGGGTTATAGGCACCCGTGCTTCACAAAAGCTAACTCACAGCAGCTCCAGCTCGGAGTCCACACCTGAGAACAACTGGAACACTTACCACTGAGTGCTGATCAAATGTAGAACTAACCTTGCACTTCAAATGCAGCATAGAAATTCTCCCATCACAAGAAGCTGTTTTCTAGAAGTAAAGAAAACCAATCTAGCAGCTTTTCAGTCAGGACTGGTTGTCTTAATGCAGCTTTTGGCTTCCTTTGAGCCCTGCTGCTGTTGTTTGTCTTGACTGTTCATAACAGCATGTGCCCCAAACCGCTGAGACTTACCTACCACAAGCTTTTGGCTTACTCATAGTATTTTTAATTTGTTGAGAGATCCTAGTCATTAACGGTGGCCTGTCCTGAAGAGTCACTTTATTGCCTGTTAGATGCGTGCAGCTTCTCTTATCCTCACATTTAAAGTCAGAAAGGAGCAAGTTTAAAAAACAAAAACAAAAATGAAACAAAAAAAACCACTTCCCTAAGGGTTCAGACATAAGCACTAAGATCTATTTCATTCTGTTTCAAAACCTTTTACTGTTTTGTTTGTTCTGTGTGTGTCCAAATCATCCCATCCATGTCCAACAGGCTCTGAGAACAGGGCCCTCCTAGTACCATTTCACTGTGAATTCCTGGTGGGCTGTAGTTGTTGATGTTCTCCAGGATAGCCAGTGTTACCTCCCTCGCAGTGGCCATGACAAAGCCACGTGCCTTCAGAAAGAGTAGGTGGTCTGCATTAAGCCTCGTAGATTTTTAGTTTGGTTGAACAGGGTATCATTGGAGCTAACAGGCAACTCACGTGGTATGAAGGACAGTGGTCCTTAAGGGAGCTACAGTCACACAGTAAGTGGAGGGTGTTGATTCCAGTTGAAACAGAGGGCCTGTTGCTTTTGGCTCGTACAATCAACGACCCGTACCTTACATTCTGTTCACAGAAATACACATCCATAAAGCTGCTGTTCCTTATTTTCTGCTGTTCTTGTGGGGACTCTTGTCAGCCTTGCACTGGGTTCCTCTGTCGTGTTGCTGCTTGGTCTGTGTTCTTGCTGCCTCTTGCCATTTGTCTGCCTGCCTCGTGACGTGCTGGGAAGGGTGCTGTCTCAACTGGGTGCCTTGATGCCCTCTGCCATGGTGCATGAACACAACTTGTCTTGAAGCATGGTGCTAGCACCCTTGAAAGAGTCACAACTGCCTTCAGGCTTAAGTTTTGTGAAGACTGCTCTTGGGCATCAGCTTATGGTGGATTTTCTGCTTTTTGGTTCCTGCAGGTGGTATTGTAGTGATGTCAGATGGATCTATTCCATGAAATAAAATATTGCTTGGATGGGGATGGGGGGAGATTCTAGTGTCTTCATTCTGGACTTGAAATCTCCTCTGGGCTGAAACATGACCTGATGTCAGCCTGCACTGTCTTCTGTTTGCCAAAGGTTACACCCAGAGTTTAATGTGGCTGTCTGCAGGGCTAAGAAGGCGGCATTGCATTCTTTGCAAGACTTTAAAAACAAACAGAAGCTCTGTTCTTTTAACTTGGAAATCTTAAATCCCTTTGAATTTAGAACTCCCTGGCTGGATTTGGCTGTTTTGCTGCACCTTGTACCTCCCATACATAGCGATACCAAACCCTGTGTGTTTACTGTGCTGTAGCCATTTGAGAGGTGGATCAACATTTAAGAACTTGAATCCAGAAGCCCTGGTCTTTATTGGATTACCTGAACAGCTCTGGCAGGAAATCAAAGTCAAGGTAGCTGAAGAGAGATACTTGTGGGTTTTTTAATCACAGAAGTGAATGGCTCATACTCAGTCATGGTTTCAGGTGGTAGATGATGTTCCAGCATAGCTCAGTTAGCTGTGAAGTACTCATGGGCTGCACGATTCCCAGGAGTTATGGTCCCTAAAATATACTGATCATTCTCATTAGTTTTCCTTTTTTTGCAACCAATGACTCCTTTGTACACATGTTAAGCACTGAACTAGTGTGTGTTGGCAAGCCATACCTGTGGAAGTTGATACCCTCAACATGGCTATGAAGCAGAGAATTCTTTTTTTCCTGTGGAGCAATACAACAATAAACTTGTGTGCAATCAGCTGGTTGTCCCAGCTGACTGGGAAGTGCCTGAGAGGTGTGCTGTGTTGGATAGCACCAGCCACCAGGAGAAACAGTAACAAGAGGCCCTTTAGGTGCTCTTCTCAGAGTAGCTGATGGAGTGGTGAAGATATGGGTTGAAACTTGTCCTCCCTGCTGTTTTTGAAAGGGTAAGTGAGGGCATGTAGGCACGTGGGTACTTCCAGCAGGAGGACTGGAAGAATGACTGCATTGTGCATTTTCTTTAACCTTCTATGAAAGCTCCTCTTTAAAGGGAATCTAAATGCAACTGTATACCTTCTAGCTGTGTCAGGCACCATATCCAGGTTACCTCAGGGTAGAGTCCAGGACCTCCTTAGCTCTGAATTGTACTCACACTTGTAAGTCTTTAGAATTACTTCTTAAAGGTGGATAAAGTCTTTGTTATTTTAGCTGTGGATAATATAGTTTGGCTTCACATCCATGTGACTGGCAAGTGTCTGCTGATAAATCTTCATCTGCTGGGCTGTCCACATATTGGAATCTGTGTATTGCACAGCATCTTTCCTCTGCTTCCCAGCAGAGGACACACTGAAGGACTTGGATGAGGCAATACTATCAACAGCAATACAGACACACTGATGGACTTGGATGAGGCAATACTATCAACAGCATGTGGAGCAAAGCATTTGTACATGGAGTCTAATGCAGTGACTGAAGATCCAGCACATGCTGATGGAGCTGTGCTGGTTGTGAAGTGTTAGCTCTCTGCTTCCCCATTTCAATCCAGCTTACCATGGTCATTAAAAGTACATTGTAACAGAAGAAGTAACTGGTTCAGAACTGTAATGGGGAAAGGTACAAAGGTGCAAAAATCCTGAGTTAAGGAGAGAACATCAGCACTAACTCTGAGTACTCTGAGTCTTTATTTGTTCCTCGTGGTGGATTGCAGGTAGGTTTGAATGTAAAATGCCCTCTGCTTGACTGCCCAGTCTTGTGTTCCTGATTACTGTGTGTTAATGACACTTAAACAACTGTGGGGTGTTTTCTTGGTGGAGAAAGGAGTGAATTCTTTTTGACTTCTCCCTCCATGACGAGTGTACTTTGTACATCCTTGAAATGCAGTCCAAGTGGCCTTTCTTGATTTTAATACTCTAAAGAACATTGGTGTTGCATATCATGGCTGAACCTCTGACATGTCCAGGAAGATGCACAATAACCTTCCATGATCTGAGATTTTTTTTTTTCTGAATACTTTTTACAAAGCTTTAACACCTGGAAGTTCTCTTTTCATACTCATCTCCTATCACATGTCACCATACAGAATACAAATAGAAAATGAACAATAAAATGCATTTTTCCTTCTAAGACCCTCTTCTTTGCTTGATGTTTGGCTGGTAATTACAGCATTGCCCTGCTTGCTCTGTGAGAAAGTTCTTTGACATCTAAGCCTCTTTGAGCCTGTTGGGTTAGTCTCATATGTTTTAATAATGCCTTAATCTTTATTTCTGAAATGGTAATCACATTTAATAAAACTGTATAGATTATAGTCCTTAAACTGGCTTAGCTTGTAATTTTCTACCTTTTTCCTTCTCACTGATAAATACATCTTAAAAAGAGAAAGAAGAGACGTACCCTTTGTCTTCTAAATATAGATACCATTTCTGGGCCAGAGTTTGTATTAAGGTCCATGTTCTGCAGAAAGTTTTCCAATTATGGAAGACAAGGAAAGATGAGTGTACAAATAAGCCACAGGTATCTTCATCGTGTGCAGATGGGGTCAGCTCTGCCAAAGGAGCAGTTTTTCTCTTCTGTTGTGCAGAGATTCAGCCAGGATCAGTCTTTGAAGGAAAACTGTTAAAATACTGTTAATTCTCTGAAAACTCCTTTGGGCAGCTGAGCTTTTGAGAGCCCAAAGATGCCACATAATGTTCTTTCCCATTGGCAAGATAAACCCTACCTCCTGGTGTGGAACTGCCTTTCAGTTGTCTCTTTGCCAGCTTAACCAGCTATTTTATGTGGTTCAGTTTTTAAAGGTGATAAAAAGTTAGTATGCTGAAAAGCACTCTTGGGAAGTAAGATGTGGTTATTATAGAATTATTCAAGCTCCAGCTGGTATAAAAAGAGGAATAAAATGTCTGTCTTCGTTGCTTGGTTGTTAGGATCATGGTAGCAGAATCCCAGAAGCAGTAATGTGGTCATGATGAAGGCATTGAAGACATTGGCATAAAGGGGCAAAGCCTTTTGTTCTTACTGCTGGGTATTATTTATGCGCTTTTCAGCTCGTTATTCAGCACTGAATGGCATAAGTTACCTCACTAGCTTGCTTAGAATAAAAAAGAAAATAAGAAAAAAAAAAAAAAAAAAACAAGCTCTCATCTCTCATCTTTCTGGCTTTCTCTTCTCACCCCCAAGCTTTAGTCTTGTCTACTACTGCACAGTGTGCAGGTTGGATCCCACGCCACAGGGGTGGGGATTATTATCCATCTGATAACTTTTAGCTAATAACATCTTGATTGATGGCAGCCTGTTTCCAGCCTGGCAGGGTCTCTTCTTTCTTGGGCATAAATCGTTCAGAGGATTCATTCTTCCACACTTCTTTCAACCTGCCCATCTGTGATGCATGCGGTCTTCTGATGCCATCGTTGCTGTAAAATGTAATGTAAAAATGCAGAGCACACCCCATTTTCTTTTCAACCTCCTTTTCTGGTAGGGTTGAAAGCAATAATGTGGCTGAGAGAGGATGAAGGTGGTGTGAGGTGGGTTTTTACATCTGCATCAGTTCAATTTCCATCTCTTTTCCCAGGCAAAGTATGGCATATTTTGACTCTATGACTATTGGATTTCCTTCTCTGTAGAGAGCTTGGATAAATCTTCAGCCCATCTGCCCTGACCTGGCCAGCATCCTTGCAGCAGGCTGACAGTATGTTACTGAGAGTGGACTGTGCAGTGACTTGTGAAACTTCCCTTGCCAGACTGAGCCAGCAGCTCCTTGCTATGCTTGCTGCAAATACAGACCATTTTATGCTGGGAGGTGGTTGTAATGTGTGGTTCCATGTTTACATGGGTCATTCTGACTTACTTTTCTGTTCTGTTTATTGTTTTCTTGTCTTCCTCCAGTACACCTCCAGCATGAGAGCCAAATACCTCGCCACCAACCAACCTCGTCCAGATGCTGGCAGTGTGCATTAAAATGGAAAAGCAAAAGCAAAAAACCCTGAAATAACTTTAACAAAACCACAAAACAAAACCCACACGTGCAGTCAGACTAAATGTGCCAACTGCTGTGCCCCTGTGCTGTCCTCGTAGAACAATCCTGCTGTTCTGCCCAAACTCCAGTGCAGCTCCTTCTGTTTCTCCAGTCCAGACCACCCCTCCAACCTGGTACTTGCCCACTGTGGAAGTGGAAGCCCCTTTTGAATTTAAGCCTTCACCTTGTTGTACCTGATGTGCAAGAGAGAGCAAGCACGTGCAGGCAAGAGACTGAGAGCACCCAGGCAAGAAACGGGGTCCACCTGCCTGGGGGCCAGCTTACTAGAGTAGCCTACCAGAAAAAGTTGAATATCTTCTGCCCCTTTTTTTCCCCTTCTGTTCCCTAGAGGGACTCAATGAAAGGTGGTGGTAGACCTTCTTCACCCCTGCAGTGGGATCAGCAGTCTGTCAAACACTGAAGCAGCAGGGGCTCGGTGCCTGTGGCTGGTGTACACTGAGGGAAGGCTGAGTCCATGCACAATGCAGCATTTTGTGGGAGGCCTCTGGCCTGGTGTCCTGAGTGAGGAGAGAGGGACACTCCTGCCTCATGGTGTCACTGCATATCCACTGTAATTTGGGAGCCTGGGGCTCTTCCAGAGGAAACCATTCCACTACCCTGGTTAACTTCTTAAAAAATACAAATCCATTAAGAAAATGCCTTTGGTTTTTTTTTTTTTTTTTGGCCACTCTATCTAGCCTGTGAATTCTTGAGGAGGAGCAGGGGCTCCCAGCACCAGTCAGCCACCCTCTCCATTGCTCTGAACCTGCCCTCCCTGCCCCACCAGGGAAGGCCAGGTACCTGTGGGTGGCTTTCTGGGTGCTGCCTTTACAGGGCTGACACACAGATCAAACAGGAGCCAGCCACCCACTAGGTGCCAAATTTTTCCAGGAAAAGACTTGCAAGACTTCACGGGGGGGTAATATTGCACTAAGGAGTTTCAGCTCTCTGATGCTACATCTTATAGAACATCAGCTTGCAAAAGCAAGAGAGACTGGAAGCACCAATGGATTGACAGCAAATGCAAGCTCTCCCTGCAGCATGACCTGTGAACTCTGCTGGACTTTTTCTTTTCTTATCTTTTTTTTTTTTTTTTTTAATAATCCTGGTTTACAGCACAGGGTTGCTGAACTGGCATTGAAGGAGGTTTTTGAAGCCTCATCCTAACAAACTCTCAAGATCATCAGTGTATCTTCTGCGTTCCAGAGTCAGAAAGCCAACTAACCTCTGGAGAACATTGTGACTATTAGAGAAGGTTTTTATTTTACTCTATTTTATTTCATTTTGTTTTCAAGGCACATTGCTAACCACTATCTGACCATATTAAGGCACATGTAAGGCATTTTTCTAGACATGAGGCAGAACAAGGCTTGCAAAGGGGCAGCTCAGTGCCTGCAAAGGGCAACATCCTCCATTGGTGCTGTACTTTCCCCTGAAGAGCAGTGCTCCAGAGGGCACTGACAGCTTCCTCCTGGCAGAGGAGACTGCCTCTTGGGAGGTGCTGTGGAGTACTGACCTTTCTGTAGGCTAACTACGATGTTCCCTTTTGTCTTTTTACCTCTGAGCAGGGGCATCTTAGTGTGGCTGCCAGGCATTCTGTCAAATAACGGGCAGAGGAAACAGGGTGGGAAGTGTCTCTCAAACTGGAGTTGAGCCATCAGCAGAGGCAGTTAGTCTTCAGCTCAGTGGTGTTCAGGCTCGGTGTCTGTTTACCCCACGTTTGCTGTCTGGGGCACAGGATCTACCAATCTGCCTTTTCTCAAGTCTGTTGCCTTTTTGCAGTGAGGTAGGAATTGCTCCTAGCAGGTAGCTAACTAGGAAGATGGTATCTGCTGTAACATGGTACCAGCTCTGTGAAGAGCAAGCTTTGAGACTCCTCTAAAGATAGAAACCACTAATAGACTACAAAAACTGTAGGCCAGCTCTTACCTTTCAAAGGAGCGAGGGAGACAAGGAAGAGGCACCACCATGCAGACAGGAAGAGAAGGTTTTGGAGTAAATGTCACACTTCACCATAAATCTCTGGCAGCAGGATTTTCTTGCTCAGGACTGAGTATGCCCATTCAGACATGTTTGATGGGCTTCACACTGAAACATACCTCTCTGTTATCAAACACCAAGGGCAGGGAAATGGTCACAGGTGGCATGGAGGGACACTGTGGCTCATGAGCACCAGGTTTTCCACCCTATCTCAAAGCCTGCCAGGAGACCCGTGTGTACAAGCATGTGGCATGGTTTTCTTGCAGGGCCCAAAGCACACAACTGCTATCTGGGGGGAACTGAACCTTCCCCTCGCTTTGAAGAAAGAAGCAAGAGCCATATAACCCTTATTAAGACTGAGTTCTGCCATCATCTCTCCTTGCAAGGATGTGCTTGGATTTCTGCTTACAATATCAATTTTAGGGGAGCTGCCCCAAAAATCTGTAGCTTGGTCCTCCTCGTTGAAGGCAAGTGTTCTGAAGGCTGGAGGGTGTGGGGAACCGTGTGGAAACAAGTGGACTTCCCTGTGTGCAGAGTGCCTCCCGAGCACGCGGGGGCTGCGCGGTGGGGCTGTCCCTGGGAGCAGGGGTGACACAGGGCCTAGCCTGGGCCGTGTGCTTCACAGCCTCTGATGGAGCAGCCACCTCGTCCTGCCTCCTCCCGAGGTCTGGGGTAGCCACTCCTAACACCCAGACCAGCCTCTGACAACATCTGGGGCGTGCAGCAAGGCACAGCTGTGGAGATAGGTGCTCTGGGACTTTGAATTATAACTGGAAGGGATGTTGTGGAGCAACGTTGCTCTCTGGAGGCCGGCGCAGCAGGACTGCAGTGTGAGCTGTGTACCTGTGTCCAGCCAGCACTTCCTTTACTTGACATGGAGATTGCACTTTTGTAAAGCATCCTGGGACTCTGCTGCCCGCTGCATGCTGTGCAGAGCGCTGGATAGGAAACACAGACAAATGGGTTTCTTTTGGTTTGTCGTTATTGTTATTATTATTCCTTTTTTTTTTTCTTTCTTTTCTTTTTTTTTTTTGTACTGGAACCTTGAGCAACAGTTTGGCATTTCTGCAGGCTGGTCTGAACAGATCTGCTGAAGAACAGATGGCCTTTGCCTATTCTTATGGCTGCGACATCATCAGTCTCATCCATATGGTCACATTTAGTCTGAGGAGTGGACTTTGGAAAGCCAAGACCTCCCAGACTCGGTGCCTCCCTCTCGGGTGAACAGCAGGTGCTATCTGGCGAAGACTCATCTGTTCTAGGTGGCATTCATGGTTGAGGGAGTCCAAACTCTTCAAGCTGTAGGAGGTAAAGCTGTAGAGACTTCTCTCTCTTCTATTGTGTGTCTCTGTTTTTAATGTGACAAGATGCCAAGGCCATATCACTTGGTGTGTACCAGCTGACCTTATTGGAACTTTACTCATGTTACTGGTTGCTAGCAGAAGGGTCCAGAATTCACCGATGGGGATGAGATTGGCCTCTGGACACCTTGCTGACTGCAAATGGAAGGCAGCTTGTCCAGTTGAAGGTGACTGCATCGGTGAAGACACTTCACAGTACTTTTTCAGAAGCACAAATGTGGTCATTGGCTTGTCTGGTTGGCTTGGTTTATTTCCACTGCATCATCATGAGTGAATGACACTTTCTTTTGGAACTGAGAACTCTTCCAAGCACAGAAACATCTCCACAATGTGAAATGTAAATAGCATGTTGGACTCTTGCGTCCAGTGTTCAAGACTGCATTGTAATTGTAAAGGAAATCGAATCAAGACTTGGCTGTGAATTTCTTGTGCTGTCTTGGGAATATAACTGTAGTGTTTGTATCCTGTATGTATTATTAAACTGAGTTCATTTTATGTGCTGATAAAAGGGTTCAAGCTAAGATTTTTAGCGTGCATCCATGTATCCAAATGTGAAGGATGGAGTGCTCCCTTCCCCTCCTGTCCTTTTTCAGTTTTCTCCATTTGGTAGGTGTTGATTTTCCGTGTACAGTCATCTCAGCCAAGATGCAAGGATGTTCAATCGAGTGCTTTGAGGGGGACACAGTGCATGGGGTTTTAAGTGTTCCTAAGTTGGGATTTCCAGAGCAGTTCCCTGAAAATACGAGTCTGGCCTTCCTGGGACTAAACCATTTCTCAGGGGGCTGCTTAGCCATTGCTCATGAGAGCTTTGGGTGCTGCAGGGTGACAGCAGACAGGGGTGGGTGGGTACCCCTAAGAACAAGGATAAACCCGTGCTTCACTTCTGGTCCTGCCTTCTCTTCCTTCTAGCAGCAACTGAAATACCATGCTGAGGCCTTTGAAGAAGAAAGAGGTGTCTTGGCTTGTTGATTCGAGCCACCCCACCCAGTTCAGGAGGAGTTGAGGTGGGTGGGTTTTCCTTTAGCTAGGGAGAGGAGCTGGCTTTGAAGTACTTTGTACCTGAGGACCAGGGAGAAGCCAGGGTCTTCCCCACCTCAGCAAGTCTGTTAGTGTAACTCAGTGAACATCTCTGGGTGGGAGAGGAAGAGCTCTCCAGAGAGCTACCAAGGACTAGATCTGACGCCCTGAGAGAAGAGACCTGACACAACCTGTCCCTTTATCCAGGTGGCTTCTTTCATCCCAGCCTGTTCCCCTTTTCCAGAAGTTATTTGTGTGCGTGCTATGGATGGCTTCCCCTGTCGTTGCAGGAGGCCCAGCAGAAGCGTGGGGTGTTTTGGTGGCAGTTCTAGATGGCTAGCAAGTGTTCTGTGCTCCCGGGGGAGGGGGGTAGTGGTGGTGAGCGTGTTGCCCAGCTGGGGGAGAGGAGATGGGTTACTGGTGGCCTGGAGCTCCCGGGTGCTCACCCAGCCCCTCTGGCTGCATGCGTGAACAAAGTGGAACATAAATTGATGTTCAACCAGAAAGTTCAAAATATTCCTTTCCTCAAGAGGATAACTGTAGCATGAAGCTCTTAGGTGCTCTGCGTATTTGATACCACATTG